AAATTGCGGAAAGGACCATGAAATGTCTACTTTCGGGTCCGGCTTGCCGATCACCAATCCCTTCCTCCCAGTCTTCTACAGCAGGCAGAAGGGGAAGTGATTAATTGGGTTACACATCTGGTCTAATGCAAAATCAAAATGGCAAGATGACTCGACGTCTAACTCATAGAGCCAGAAAGCGACCCGATACCCCAAATTGCCCTATTCGGTTGGAGGGCTGTCTCTCTGCTTGATTTCGTCATCCTTGCCTTCTCCGTCGCTGTGTTGGGGCGTTGGTCTGAAAACACCGTGAGAAATGCCTGCTAATTAGCGGCGAATACTCTAAGTCCTATGAGACTCATTATCGCCCGTGCTATTACGCTGTGAGATGTAGGCTGCTAAGTCATTATCACTAGTTGCCACGAAAATGAGCCAGGCAAGCAATGCCGAATTCCAACCCGTCAGCATTCCGTGCTGAGGGGTTCTAATTTCTAATTTCGTTGTAACCCGTATTTAGGACGCCTCACCGCCTCAATTATTCCCCTCCTGCTAGGAACAATAATCCCTCACTTGTCTGAACTACTCGCCTCCCCTTAAGAACAACAACCCCACACTTGCATCATAATCAGAACCCCTGTATTCTGCAGTACTTCCTTGAGAATATGTAGGGGCAGGGGAGTGTTATTCTTGTGATAAAGAGGGACCTTGAATCATTCAGCTCCACCTTGCCTTGCCATCCCGGCACTTGGAAGCGCATTTCAGTACCAGGGCGTCGTCGGGTGGCAAGAAGAAGGCGGCTACTCGAAACACCTCTTCACATCTTTTTCTGCATGCTTCAAATGTTATGTCAACGCAACAGATTTGGGACGTCTCGAACCAAAACATAATCCTGACCTACGTGTGGCTGCGCCAGCATAACTTTCTGCAGCTGTGCGGCCGAGCAGGAGAAGGACTCCCTCAGGGCACATGCACATCCCAAGTAGTTGCATCGCTTTTTTATTTGACTTGGCTCGTTCTCATCCAAAGCCTTTGCGGGACAACTTTTGAGGTACGCATCTTTCACCCTACATCCCAGCCAAGTTTAAGAAAAGGGCTTGCGCAATTCCCATATCCTGTGACTTATAAGGTCAACGCGTTTACTTTCCTGCACCATCGCTGCTGATGCTGCTTCTGCTGCCGCTACTGCTTGCTGCCGCTACTTCCTTTTGTGTTGCCTGCGCCACACTTTACTAATGCCCAACCCAGCCAAGCCACCACTCGGGTAGCTCATCGATGACTGCCAGGAGCGCCCTGGAGCAACATGTTGGGTCATGCTGCTGCAAACGTCCGCTTTGCCAGCACTATCGAGATCGAGAAGCTCTGGGGCCCCGGGAGTTCTGAACTCTGACAAGCTCACTGCCGCTGCTACCGCTGCTACTACTACTACTACTACTACCACCACTACTTTTTGCTGTACTTGAGACACTACTTGTACTACTAATACAACGATGATGACCACAAGCACGATTGTTTCTTCTTCTCTCTGCTGCTGCACGTTGAGATGTCATCCTTCTTGTTCTGCTTGCGATCTGTCCTATTGCTAGCGATCTTTGGGCTGCCCTACCCGCCGCTGCCTAGCAGCAACCTTCTCTTCCTCCGCCTGGTCTCTGGCCCGATCCTGGGACCTTGCCGAGAAAATAGGGCAAGTGCTAAAGTTGTGGCATTCATATATGATTTGTGAAACATCTCACTTTCTAATCTAGTTAGAGGCTTAAATGTTAGCATGTGCCTACTTCATGTGGCAAGGGGCGGTGGAAACAGCTTATGTCCAGGCATTCTGGTTCCATTGCGAGGGCTGAGCTTGGAAAGAGTAGGTCATCAGTGGGCCTCAGGCGCGGCCGGGGATTTGGGGGTGGTCTACCTCCGCACCAGCAGATGCGTGCTTCAGGTGTTTGCATCGTCTTCGAGGCACCGGCTAGATCTGAATTTTTACATCCCAAAGCCTGGAATGCAGAACACATCCGGTCACAAAGAGCCATTGCTGAGGTCCGCGCTGATCTGTGAAGTCCAACAATATCTTAGTAAGGCATGGGAGAAGTATCCGCCGAAATCACAATCATGCCAAGACAGGGACAAGCCACTTTACGGAGAAGCTACTAGTACTGCTAAACAAAATCCTTCTTGACAGTTTGGAGGCGCAGAAGCAAAGGCAATCCATACCTGCGTGTATGCGCGGCTACATGTGTGTCAAGAAGTGAGTTGCACGACATTGCGGCTTCTCAGAGCTTCTTACGGAATCCTTGGAATAGGAACTTCGTTTAGAGGAATGTATGGGGATCCAAAGTTGAGAGCTGCACATCATCTACCCATTGGCCATTGCCTGCTGGCAAGGATCCCGTGGCTCTGCGGAATCGTTGTCGATGACCTGAAGGTGGCCACATCTACCACACCACAGCTCGTGGCGTGGCTTTAGCGTTTGAGGGGCTCAGGACAAGATGATGAAGGTCTACTTTCGCAATTTTCCTGAACATGATGGCCCATCGAGTTGAACACTCTTCCTAGATCTTCCTAGAGCCCCGCTGCTAGACTCCCAAGAAGGACCAACACATTTGCTGACTGCATGATGCTAGCCTAGCTGGTGAAGTGCCCAAACGCGACCATGTAAATTCAGCACGGGTGCAAGCTCAGGTCGCCGAGATTCCCCATGTAAGTACATGCTTCTTTCAACCCCAAACGCTTCCTCTCCCTCCCCTCATCTCTCCTGCCGACATCATGAGCCCCTGGCGATAAAGTGGTCTACCTTCACCTCCGTGGTGGCTGCAGAGCTGCCATCATCAGTGGGCCGTTGACCCAACATCAGGGTCTTCAGCATCCTTAGGCTGTGAGGTCGGGAGATCTGTAGGAGCACCCACATGGGACAGACCCTCTAGGAAGGACTCCTTAATGATAGGAAATTATCAGTGAGTTGCATTCAGTGTTCTTTGGGGATGTACTACCTGACATGTTGGCGACAAGAAAGACCAGACCAATCGTTTCTGGAGAGTGCGTTCGGCGACTGGCGATAAAGAGTTCCGTCAGCAATTGCGCAGTCCTAGGCAAGCCCAAAGAAGGGTTTTTGGACACCCCAACTTGGGGACCTTTCAGCACGACCTTTTTTGCATCGGCCCAAGTCTGGGGCTCTCATGTGCCTGGTCTCCCAAAAGATCTGATAAACGCTACAAACGTAATGTCTTTACCTCGAAGAAGCCCCCCTCCAAAGCTAAGCAAGGTGCCGGGAGATGTTGGATTCTGCTTGCTGGGCATGGAAGTGCCTGCGCTGCTTAGAGGCCATCTATCTGCCAGATTCGAATGGAAACTACAATACATCAAGACCCCACCCCGCCCCACCACACAAGACATATGATCAGCTGCGTAAATTAGTTGTAAACAGCGAGATGCTCTTTTAAAGGCATTTGTTTAAAAGGGGGGGCTTGTCGCTTTAAAGGGTTCAATCCTATCACTGCCTGATCTTGGCTCGTATATGGTGCACGATACTCAAGGTGGTCGCTCATGTGGCGATGCAAAGAACTGCAGCGAAGCTCTACCAGAAGCTGCCATTTGAAGGGCTAAAATGCGCATGTCCAGCAATGCGAAAACACTGCAGCTGCTGGTGAGGCTGAGTGTTTCACGAGCTTGCCAGTTTGGATGGATTCAACTGTGTATGGAAGAAATTCATAATGGAACCTGTGTGACCTCCTCCTTCTCCTAACTTGCTGGAAAAGCGGGTCACAGCTATATCTACAGGTGATCTCCACGTATCTGCATCCGGGCATGTCATCATTCGTGTCACAGTATTTGTGTCAGTTTTGCAGGTATTGCGCAGTCAGGTGGCAGGTTCACCAAGTTGGCGTCCACGTTACCTCCAAGAAGTCCTTGCAAAGCACAGTTCGGACACTGCGACCTAGCGAGGGCCTGGAGGTGTCCTTACCAGCCGTGGTCAGCTGAAATTATTTGCTGACTTGACGCAAGTTCTCAGCAGACAATCGTTCGCATTGGTCCATGCTTAGGGTTGATTCCAAATTGGATCACCAACGAAGAACTTTAAGAAGTACTCCTTTCATGCGGATTGCAACGGAACCCGGCGGTTCATATGTAGGTTTCGCAATAGCGAAACGCTCCTTCAACGCATTTTTTTCTACAGTTTTGCAGGCGTCGGGTTTATGCGGTCTCAATGTCTGAAGCACGGTGCAGGTTGAAGCCAAGTCGCTCTTGCTCTCAATCTCCTGACGGTGGCGGTTTCGCTGTCGGGCGTGGCGGGCTTCCTCGCGACATCCGATAGTGAAAGGTTGCAGCAAGTTTCAAAGCCTTCAACAATGGGATGCTGAGGGTGCTCGGCAAGTTGGACCAATCGATGGCGTCGAATGCAGACCGGCCTTTAACTTCCGTGTTGAAGGCAAGTTTCTGCAAGAGACTCGTAGCAGGTCATGCGGCCCTCCTGATCCTAAAGCTAATGGGTGTGACGTCCCGAGTGCGTGTGCAGCCTGTGCAAGACAGCGAGAAGGTGGAACCCATTGCTGTCTATTTATGACCTGGGAAGCAGGAAAGCTGTTGCAAGACACTTTTGAAGGCTCCTGGCTGGCATAGGGCCAGAAGCCTACCACACGAAGCGGCATATGAGCGACTGGTGCCACGCCTCACGCTAGCTGGGAGCACGCATGAGGTGCACATGTGCACATGCAACATGTTCCGACATGGGGAGTCCACAGGCGCAACCCCTGTAAGGAAGATATGATACTGCACGACAAGCAGACACGACATGAAACCATGAGCCTCAGAGCTCATGCTGCTCCCTACTACAAACGAGACGAGAGAGAATCTGCTCATATTGTGGCTCCAAGCGGCACGAGTGTGCCAGCTCAAGGATCTGCATGGTGCGGTCAATGGCGGCGCCTGCCATCACGGAGGAATAGTACCTGGACTGCCAAGCAGCTTAGGGGAATCCTCTTGGCATCTACTTGGAGATGACTTTAGCCTGCATGTAGCCTACTGTCAATTATGTCAGCTCACTTGGTACTTCCGGACGCCGCTTGTACTACTGCCTGGGAAACAGTCAAGTTCTGGTCAAGGTACACTGACAACTCAGGCGCGTCGACAATGGTGACCTGCAGGGTTGCAATAGGAAAGTTTTGTTGAAGTCGGCCATGACTATTCAACTCTTGTCTTTCAACTTTGATTCGCGAAATGCCCACAGTGTACCTGCAGCGGCGCACCAATCACGTGTTCTTGCCATGCATGTCATCGTTGAGGAACGGCTTTGGCAGGAGAATGAAATGAAATTCATAAGACGTCCATTTTGTCTAGGCCCGAGCGTCTTGCTAGGGCCTGTTGAAAGAAAGAGACCTAGACGCTCTTTGCCCTTCTACTTGCTGGCCTGGGCAATTGCTAATCTTTCGAAATCTTTTTGCCTCCTCACGGCATGAACCCCCCCCCCATTGAGAGGCCTTGATCACATCCCATGCTAAGGAATCTCTGACAGGTCCTCGGATTGCCGCCAGACTCACAAGTACAGCAAACTTGCAATGAATTACTGCATTGTTCTGGCAGTTTCGGTTTTCTGCATTTCCGTTCTTAGAGTATAATGGTTGCTGGTACTCTATGAATGCGGCCGTGAGTCCGTGGTGAAACATGGCATATGTTAGCCACTGCAGCGCCCAGGCGATTGCGCTCCTGTATTCGTCCGACTTGCCTTTCAGGGCCTTCACCTCAGACGATTTTGGACCAATCTGCTTGAGCTGCCTGGCTGACCGTCACTTTTTTGAAAAATGAATTCTGCTAGCACCAGCTCCAAAAGACTGGCAGAAGCGATTTGAAGCACCTTCTTGTCATGACGTGCAATACTTTCAAATTTGACAAATCCTCTGCTTTGATATGCGCGCCAAAACCCGAAGCTGCGCCAGGCATTTGTGCGGCCGTTCTGATGTCCTCATATTGAAGCTCCCGATAGCTCCCACTGTTGTAGGGAGCTGTTCTTGATCTGGCCAGAAACACTCATGCTGCTCAATGCACCGTGGCACGCATGAAAAATCTCACTAGGCTTTCAAGCGGCCTGACCAGTTTTCATCCCATCACCAAAACTAGCCACCAAGGAAACCATGGCAAGCAACCGCCCAATCCAGAGCCATCGAGCCCGAATCCTGCTGGGTCAGTCGCATCCTTGGCTCTTCTTATGCCGGGCTTTTCTTGAGGTTCCCACTACTATGGGCGCTTGTTCGTCGTGTTTTGGGGGGTAGAAAAATGGATGACAATAGAAACTTGGCCATGGCTTTTTCCCGAAAGCAAATTGAGTTCCAGTTGAGGTACCCTATTCTACACGTTGCTTGGGATTAGAATATTGGTAATTACTCAGGCCCCGAACTATACGGTTTTGAAGCTTTCCCATGTCAATGTTCTGTGGATTTCCAAGCTCATAGGCTTGGGAACGTCTCAAACTAGGAGTACTTGAGGGACCCTTGGGCTCTATGGGGCGTAAAAAGAGATCATAGGGGCTCCTAAAGGAGAAACTCAATCTTTACATCTCACGACAAAAGGAAGAATTGGAATAATCGCTTCCCCCTAACATTCAACAACGCCATCCCCCACGCAATTTTCCGGGCACCGAAGAATAATTCAATGTTAGGGTGGGAATTTTTGAAAGGAGTAGATAGAGCTGCCTTTAAACTCGCTAAGTTCTATGGAAAATGAAATAATGATTAATGTAGTTGTTTTGATGAATTTAACTAATTACTTACATTGATTTAATGAATCAAATTGATTCATTCGTTTCATTATCCATTATTCAATTAATTACTAAATTCCCCAACTCCTTCGTATTTCTCATCATAGCCCCCCTAATGGCCTCAAAACCCCCCTCATTCAGTATTGTTGGCCGCTTTTAAAAGTAGTCTTTTGGATCTTTAGCCCCCTGAATTTATCTTTTGCTATAAAGGGGGGTTTAATATTAGGGGGAAGGGATTAGACATGATGAATATACCATGTTTCCCAAAGCCCAGGGAGGCGATCAGGCATCTCGAAGGAGTAGGAACAAGCTTCCTGTAAAGCAGGATCTCCTTTAAGCAGGTCACTGCCTTCAACCTGTCAGTGAACCGTAAAGCCAAGCATAAACCAAGGTCCACAGTCCGAGAGGCATCTTCTTCCAGAGTGCCCCTCCGGCCTCCGTGGCAAGCAGGCATCTTATTGAGGCTAGTATACCAAGCATTGTGATCATCAATAATGTTATTGACCTTGAAACTTTTCTTACAAATTGTTGCCTTACCCTCCACAAGATCAACTTATTCATCTCCCCTCAGAGGGATAGCAGGCTTTGTAGGGCGCTTTTTGGCGCTCTCCAGCCTGGTGTTCTTTCGGCACCCCGACGGCCACGCTGAACTGCTCTCGGAAGCCCGGCATGCAGTCCTCAGAAACACAACGAAGACTAGCTGGGTCACAGCTCAAGAGCATCTTCGTCTTACACAGCTCTGATAAAACCAGCTTTGTCCTGGCTTACATCTCACACTGGGCATGCCCGTATTTTGAAGAGCCATGCTTTCGTCTATGGTGTCCAATTCATTGACAGGGCTTTAAGCAAATGCTCCATTCTGCAACAAGGGTCGCACAGGTTGTCGTTGTTGACTTCCTCCCGGTATTTGAGAGACCGTACCTCGGCCAATGAAGTGAAGGTGCACCCAAACCGACCAAACCAAACACTCAGAACAGTTTCAAGATGCCTGTGTCTCTGCGAGAGCTCTGCAGCTTTCTAGGTTCGGCCAGGCGGCTGTGTTTCTCAGAGCATGTGGCACCTGGAGAGCAAACAAGGCACACTGAACGCTACCAAACCTGCCACCGATACTGGCACAACTTGTGCCCCTTCCACTTGGTCATCTGTAGCGCGTTAGGAACCCGTTCTAGGAGTTCCTACAACACGGCTTGGATGTCAACTGGGTAACTTCCCCCAAAACTGACATGGAAGCCCAAAAGGAGCCTACAAAGACGACATACTCTTTTAGTTGGCTTCGTTCTGAAGTAAATGAGAGCCTTGCCCACTCGTGGTCATAGCAACCTTTGGGGAATCCAGCGCCATGCGCCAAAACCGCCTTCAAGGAAAGTCCTCTGCCCACCCTTTTTCAGGCCCCTAATGGGCTAATCTTACTGATTGGAAGTGAGGAAGGAGGAAATGGAAAGAACATTGAAACTGCTGTAGGGTGTTGGCTTGAGGGTTTAGGGGCAGGACAGGGGAAGTCAAATGGAACATGAAGCAGAAACTGTATAATGTAGGTACGCATAGGCCTTTGTGCCACTTGCATGGCTCAGATGGCATCGGGAATGGAGGAATGGAAAAGCACATGGAAACTACTGCGCCATCGGGGATTCCGCTCCCTAAATGTCGCTCATGAGGCTGCCAGTAGTGCTGCTGCTGCTACTGCTGCAGTCACTACTTCTGCTCCTGCTTTGCTGACAACAATCAATCACAATGCCAAGGCCAGTACAAGTCCTGAAGCCAATGACGCTGGTAATTCTTCCTCTAAACCCCTGCATAACCACAGTTTCCATTTCATGTTCATTTGATTCTCCATTCTTGGGTACTCTCAGTGCAAGTCCTGAAGCCCTCGAGAAACTGACCTCTTCGGGAGGAAGCCGCTGGATGCTACTTTTCCCAGCAGCTGGAGGCCCCAGCAGCATTACAATTTCCTGAGAGTCACTCTGTGGAGTGTAGAGGTTGAGGGCCCAAAAAAGGATCATGCAGGGCCATGTGTGGATCACGTGCACTTATGAAGGTGTGCTGCAGGTTTCCGGTCTTGTTTGTGCAATTCTGAGCGGGCACGCCTTCTCAAGAGTCTAGAGGGTCATCGTTCTGGACCTAGACTTTTCGGATTAGTCCTTCTGACAAAGTCCGGGAAGGCGGCAAGGGATCCCCTATTGCCGGGTAAGACGTTTCCGTAATCAGCCCATTCTATTGAACTTGTGCTGATTAAGAAGCAGCCCTTTTCCTGACAAGCTGGCAATTTTCAAGCCTTGCAGGTGGGTATTAAACAATCAGCGGCCCCCTCCGTCTCAAAAGCTTGGAATCTGAGGATCCGCAAAAAGGGATGCCTACTCTCGGGAAACCCTAGCACTATATACCGCTACATTTTCCTATGAAATTCCTACATACTCTCAGAGATTTCTTCAAAAGGATCCCAAACCTTTGGGAACTGTCAGGTTGGCTTTGAAAACCCCACAGGCCTGCCTCGAGTTAGTAGGGACTGAAGGCATCGAGTCGTAAAAACTCCCCTATGGCAGCCCGAATAATTATTCCCAATCCACACAAACCAAGCTAATATGTCTTGCGCCATGTGTTAGAGTCCCCTCCACCCACTGTTAGAAATCCCCCAACCGCTTGTCTCCATAGTTTAACTTCAATGAGAATGTTCAAAATTGCAGGGTAGGGGGTCTCAATATCAGGGACATGGGATCAATGATTTTCATTCGTTACCGACGAAAGCCAAGCTAGGCTGCCAGCCAAGTGTCGGGTGTCGGGGGATCACCGTTGCAGTCCAGCCGCTTCTCGTAGCAACGCTTAACGAACTCGCCCAGGCCAAGGTTCCTGAAGTGCTGTAGAGATTATCAGTCCCTGAAAGGGGATATACGGAGATGTAAGGCTTCTTGGGGAGTCCACAGAGGGACCCCCAAACATGCACCACAATTTGGAATTCCAAAGTCTGAGTATTGGGAGTCTAGGAAGCAGAGGGGGCCCCTATGAATTGGTCCTGTGTGACACGAAATTGTTGACAGTTGATTGACGCTTGCGGGGATGGTACCACCATGCACTGCTTGTTGCGCCCAGGGCATGTGTCTTTCACTTTGTTGAACATGCCTCTGCCGCTTGCCCTGATTGGTGTTGGACAAATTACGGGCCATACGCCCCACAAGCCTAGACCCTACATGTCACAGTGCAACTGAAGGCTCTTTACACGAGGATGGACGAAGACACACCGCATGGGATATTGCGGCTCTTCCCGGCACTTCCTCAGCTTCGCTCACGTTGTCTGCTTGCGAAACGAAAGAGACATCACGGCCTGGACATTTTTACAGCTGTTCACCCCATGTACCTGTGTGGTCGTCAGTATCCGTTCTTTGGGCAAACTGCAAGTTTTGGTTCATGTTGATCCTATTCTTGCTGAAGCTGCTGGAGAGGTCGTTGACACCTGGTCTATGAAGATGCCAGAGAACCCTGAGCCCTAAACATGCCGAGTTTCTGAACCCAGCGCATTCGCTGCTCGGATTTGCTTTCGGCCAGGACGAAAGCCTTCTGAACAAGTATTGCAGAAACACTCGTCCATTGGCAATAATGCCCCGAGATGACCCCATTGCAAAAACAGCAGTACTGCTGCAGTAGAAGCCCTGTTGCTGCTTCCGCTGCTATTATAAGACGTCGTACCAACTATGACCGCAACCTACCGCCGCCACCACCACCATCACCACCGCCCCCACCACCCACGCACCACCTGCATCACGTATACTAGCAGTGGCCGTCCAAAACAGTACTGCTAGTAATGTAAAGTTCTTGTTTGTTTCTCCGTCGCGGCAGAACCACAGACCAGTTCCAATGACGTGGGACTTGCACTTAGGTGCTGCTGAAGACTCATCGCAATCAAGGATAAACATTCGCCAA